ATCGAGTCCTAAATGAAGACACCACGCTAGCTGACAGGATTTGGATCCTCTTCCGAGAGCAAGGCATCACCATCGCAAGCATTCTGACTGCATTGGGCTTCATCATATCAACCCTGGTGGTGTCATTGACAGGGGGTACCCCCACGCCTGCCGGCACACCACCAAGTGGTCGTAGCTGGATAAAAAAACGCCTGAAATCCCTAGGGGAAGCCCTGGCTAAACTGGCTGGTAAGCTCTGGCTAAAACTGCCACGTGGCTCAGTCAAAACCTGTGGGCAGCCATTGTCACCCTGGCGGGTCTGGTGTACGTAGCGGTTAAGGAATTTTTAACCAAATAAGTCCCAAAGCTACCCCACCAACCACCAGGGCTGTTTTACTATCGATGTGCTGCTGATTGGATTGTGGGGTCACCCCCACAAGGGGTGTTGGTTGAACCCTAGGCTCCGGGGGTGGCGCCACTATACCCGTTTCACCGGTCTTAGGTGGTGGGACGTGGGGGACGTTGATATCAAAATTGACGCCCAACTTTTGGTCTGCCGTGGCTATGACTATTTCGTTGTTGTATCCCACCACTTTTTTTACTCTCAGTTGCATATCACTCGGAGCCATGTACAGTCCCACGTCGAACACATAGTCGACTTTCGACCTTGCGTATTCCAACACGTCTTGGTAGCGTTTGATGGCACTCGGGAGATCAACTGGAGAATTGATAGCATCCTCAACGTTAACAATGAACTGTTTCTGAGCGTCGTAAGCAGTCCCCTTACCGAGGATGTTGGAACGCATTTGCATCTGCGCACCCAACAGCACCCACACGTACGTTCGAATCGAGTCGTTCAACCTGATTACCCCGGCACGAGTTAACCCTTTCGACGTGTCCAACATAAACTTTTTCCAACCATCTGCGGTTGACTGCTCCACTTTCTGGACGGTGAAAGCAACACCACCTTTAAAGTTCATACGGTCATCCCTCCATTCATTACTCGACAAAGCAAAGTCCTGGCGTAGTACATCTCGTTTCAGTAAATCATAACTGACTTCTGTCACGGGTCGCCCCCCATCATATGGAATACCCAATCCATGGTTCGGCCCAGGCAAACGCCAATCCGTCTTCGGGTTTAGTTCGAATTCGTTGCAAATACGTTCGTAGGCCCGTCTATCGTACTGGTTGTTTACTGCGTTCCACGCCTTGTCCTGTGGGAGCGGGGCGCTGATCTCTTTAAGGATACGCCTGACCTGGTAGTACACGTGGAACATGAACACAGACTGACTCAGCGGTCCACGCCGAGTGTCGGTCAATGTCACACCACACCCCGTTGTAGCGCACCACACAGCGAAGTTGAGTTGATTCTGCCAGAACTGCATCGGGTTGTTGAACCAAGCGTGGACTGCCTTGACGTTAGTCACCGAAAGCTTATACAGGCTGAACACATCTAAAATCTGGGAGTCGAAATGCATTTCATCAGCGACCACGATCTTCATGGGTGAGAAATCTACGTCCAGTTTAGGGTACAACACTCCATGGGAGTAAGACACTCCTTGGGAGTACATTTTAAAACTATTATATAATGAGCATATATACTCTAACATGTACATAACACTTCCAGGAATAACGAGCAGTGAGGCCGTTCAGCTGACGCACGCGATCGATAATACGTCGGGTCAACTCAAAGTCGCACTCTGCGATATCACCTACCTGCCGCAATGGACTAACATCAACGCCAGCAATAATAAGCTGTTCGTCAGTGGAGCTCGCAGTCAGATAACTGACGGCTACTACAGCGTGTGCTCACTAAGCGACGAGGTCTTCAAGCCCCTGGGAGCTGAACTCAAGATGAATGACTCAAACGGCACAGTGGTGTTAATCAACAACGGAAGAAACTCCTTGAGGCTCGGCCGGCCATTGGCGAGGACACTCGGTATGTCGCCTGACGAGATAAAACCAACAACAACCGTCACAGGCATGAAGTTACCCGACCTAGTACCGTACCGAGAGCTGTACATTCATCTCGGCCAGGTGAGCACAACGTACAACATTCAAGGGGGTCACCTTTCCACTATACTGAGAGCAGTGCCGGTGAAAACGGAGAAATACAACGACGGTAGAACCGAGTCGTTTTCACCGCGGCAGTATAAGAGGTTGACTCGGTGTTAGATATAAATCATAATCCCGTGAATATAGGATACCTCAGTATAACGCTTTACATAAAATGACCAGCGCACAAGGCCCCGGGTTGAAAAAATGCATCAATGTGGGGATCTCAGACCTCGGGGACACACGCAGATTCGACGCTCCCGGAGTAGATGGTAAATTGTACGCCTTGCAACTGAAAAACAACATTTACAAACGCGTTGAAGTCCCCTCCGGTGGATCCCTAGGTGATATAGTAGATACCACAAGAGCGACAGTCAACACTTGGTACACCCTAGTCAACACCGGGGAAGATAAATGGATAATATACCCATCGTTCAGGGGCAAACTGTTCGACTTAGACGATGTTGAGAGCACTACCGTCGCCCGAAACAAGCCATATACGCTCGTCTTCACTGAAGATGACAAGTGGGTGTTGTTACCCGATAAAGATGACTGGTTTCTCAATATTAGGCTCGGCTCCCCCTACGTCTTCACGGATAACAAAGACAACCACCTAAACAAAGTCGTGAACAATGGAACCCTGCTAGTGGTTTACGTCCCGACTCAGAGACGTAGCATAATCATCAGCCCAGTCGCCAGTATGGCAGCCCACATGCTATCGAGTAAACCGGGAATGCAAAACGTGACATTGCAGCTGGTGTCTGAATTCGAAGGCATGGTCACCATCCTGGAGAGTCTACCGGTGAACTCAACACTGATCATCAAAGTGTACCTAGAGGAACCATCGCGGGGTGATGTCGAGATCATGAAGGGGATCAAACTCGGGTGGGCGAAACGACACCAGTATCACGTTTGCACAGTTTACGTGCGGGTGGGTGTCGACTCCAAAACCAGTCTGCAGGGTGTCACCGTGATCGTGGAAAACACGATATCACTAACCAAGATCTTCCTACCTGACAACATACACTTCATGGGAGTGAAGTTCACCCCTGAACTATTATTAGAAAACCAGTTGGAAACTATATCGTAGTAGTATTATAGCAATGACCAGTCATCGTCCCAACACTACGCTTAACGATCTAGGGGACACGGAGGGATTCGATCAGCCTGGTGAGGAAGGTGGCTCATACGTCCTACACTTGAAAGGCAACGTGTATAGGCGGGTGCCCCTAGCAGACTATAAAGAACCCGAATGGTTGATCAACATAACCCTAACCGCACCTTATATCTCATTAGACAAAGATGGCTATGTCTCCGAAATTAATAACAATGGCTTCATCCTCACGTCTTTCCTTCCAACTCATGAAATAATAGTTTCTAAAATACCATTTTACTCGGGCAACATGTTAGTTTCACCCGGGCGGTCAGGGTTAATAGTCAACAGATCCGATGCCGTAACAGGGTTTAGGACTATGGCCCCAGGCTCCACACTCATCATAGAAGTCGCTTATAACGGCGAGCTTGATGATGGTTCATACCTGGAACTTTTACCTGGGGTGAAAATAAATTGGGGTATACCCGAAGACACCTACACACGTTGCCGTATCGCTATACGATTGGACCATCCACTGAGATTACTACCCCCCTTAATAGACTGCGATAGTGTTAATATATTTCAGAGTTTACCTATTGACCCTTCCCATATCTCCACATACAAGAATCTAAGTCTTATAAGCCTCAAGTACGTTGATCGACTATTAACTGAAACCCAATTAAAAAATATCTAATAAGATATATTATAGGCACACAGAATGGGTCTGTACCCAGTCGTAGAGGAAGTAGCGAAGACCCTGGAAACCATAGACGGGTTCCGCTTGAGACAGTTATGTGATGTAAAACGCCAACTAGAACAAGACCGCGACACGCGGAAAGCACTATGTAAAAAGTACCACAGAGCTTTCAATATCATAGACGGGGCTGATACTGCCCTTATGACAACCAGCATGGGGCTAGTGGCGGCAGGTGTTGGGTTGTTAGCTACCATCGTAGCTCCCCCCGTAGTGCTAGGCATTGAAATAACAGCTGGGGTGGCAGGGGTGTTAGAGTTGGTGCTTAAGTTTGCATCCCGCAGGCTGCATCGTAAGGCATTGAAACACAACGAGATCAGGGTTCTGGCTGAAGCAAAGCTGAACACGGTAAGTGAGCGTATATCCACGGCACTCACTGACAGTAAGATCTCCGAGGAGGAGTTTCGTTCAATCCTCTCTGAACTCACAAAATATAACAAAATGAAACAAGAGATTCGATCCAAGTCTCGTAAGTCTGCTATCAGTGAGGACAAGAAAATAAAGTACATAGAACAAGGGGTGAAAAAGCCCAGCAAGCCTTTATTACAAACACCAAAGAGATCATAGGCGATTCACATTAAACTGTTTCATCGAGGTAAACGTGACATAGTGCCACGTGGAGATCCTAGGATAGACCCGTTAAACCAACACACTTCAGCCATGTCCCCGGTGCGGCTGTGAGGTATACATGTGGAGTTCGTATCCCGCTGGCGTTTCAAAGTAGGGGTAATGGGGTGAGATCTAAGGGCCTGAACAAAAGCCTTATTTGGGAAATAAGGCTTTGCAGAGGCTTTGGTTGGACTTGGTCCAAAACCCCCATTCCCTATACTACTAGTTTAGAGAGATATGGTGAGGAACGGCACATGCCATCAACGTGAGATGGCACAGCGATAAACGAAGTTACCGATCATGACAATCCCATTATTCGTTACACATACTTTACTGGGGATCTGTTGAAACCGGAATCTCCACTGCGAGTGTCAATAATATATAATTGGTTCTATAAACATTCTAAGAATCAGGAAATACATATGACTTTCATAATGTATAATGCATGATTCTACAACAGAGCAGCACTTACTAACAATACTACTATTAACAAACATGAACTGAACTCACCTGCACATGACATGTCATGATCTTGAACAATCATCCAGGAATTAGATTTATGTGTGCTCAGGAAGAGAACCAAAATAAGCCGGCGATCTATCTTATAATGAATACTTGTTTTCCTCACTTGTACATTCAAGAACTTGCCAGTATCTACTTCTTTTAAGTCATAGGTGGTGTTGGCCTCTGCAGCGGATGGGAGCAAGATAAATCTGGCGAGATCAGATGACTTGAGAGGTAAACAAATTAGAAATTCCTTTCTGTCGATGCTGTCAGATTGTGTCCAAAACAAAGGGAGAGTCTTTTCAAAGTTCAAAAATGCACGATCAAACCCTAAGTAACAGCCGCTCTTCTGTTTCAGGTAGTATCCACTTCTACCGTGTATGGCAGCATTTTGGAGGGACCAAATTTCACTGTGGTTTCCATCTGGGCACTTCAGTCCTGCGTCTTGTGACTCATCAACCTTGTCCCAGTCCATCACACCGTCCACAATAATTGATGATCGCTGGATGCTGAAGAGAACTTGTTTAGATTCAGGATGGATGATGTAAGTGTTGTTGAGATTTTGATTTCGGCCGAGATGAGTAAGTTGCAGAGGAGTGCATTCTTCGAAACTCTTATTTTGATCTGTCAGACGATTATCTAGTTGTTCCAACTGTACACGGCATAGGACTTCTGTGTCAATACAAGTGCCATTGTAGAGCTGGAAAGCATATACCTGCAGTCTCATCAGAGACTCTCTGTAGCTGTTTATTTGATTCAGGGTGTTTCTAAGGTTGTAAATAGTTGATGAGATTGTTGTTACTTTTGTGAGAGTAAACTGAATAAAGCTACATCCCAAACCCACAGAGCGTTTCCCAGAAACTATACTGTTCCCTACAATCAGCAAATGAAGCTGAACCAGCATATCAGGAACATTCTTCAGGTTATTCTTCATGTTAGCTAGTTCAGTCTGAAGTTGCAAATGTTGCCCAGTAGAGTTGGAAGCCAAGCTACCTAGATTATTTATTGCCGTAGTCACTGTAACAGCTTGGTGAAACAAAACCAAGAACTTTCTTTCAAGTTTTTCAGCCTCCTGAAGTGTGGATATATCCTTCAACTCTTCAATCGATATTATGACTTCTTGCATACTTTTCTGGAACGAACATAAATGAATGTTAAAGGCATAATAATAGTATATAAACAATGATAATAAACTTTAAGAACAAAGCAGTTAGCTCTTGATATCAAAGATAATGGTCTCGGGATCACATAGACTTTCACTCAGGTCAACAAACAAATTTTAGATCAATGGTTAAGATATTAAAACATTTATTTCATGGAACGTAGCAAAATGATTTCAACCAGAAGGTGTTTGAGTCATATGCTGAAAAAGGAGCAGACTCTTTCCCATTGTTTTCTAAGTGCCCTATATATAGAAGCAAACCAACGTAATCTACATCTATAATCATGGTCATTTTCATGTTTTACCCCTGATATTGTAATGCAGTAACACTTGTCTCTGGATACACAAATAACCAAGTTCCGAATCATGATGTCACTATCTGGGAATGAGGCAGTTCGTATTCCCCATTTATAAAATAAACGAAAAGTCAAAATAATTATGTCTCAACATTTAAAACACCAAAACCGAAACAAAACAGTAAACCCAATGAAAAATCCCCGCACTGTACATTCACCGAAAGTGTGAATGTTAACTAAGTTTCTATGCTTCTGTGTAAATGTTTTCCCGATAATGGAAGCAATCTAATAAGTAATTTGTAACTCCTGGCTGGAGCTCGATATGGACGACCCTGTCCCTCAGCAATATGTCTAACTAACTGCCGATGTTAAACTGATTAACGCTGTCGTCAGCTATGACCACGAAATGCACGAGATTTTAAAACCCACGTGCATATACGCATAGCGACGGGTGTATTCGGGCGCGCTGACCCAAGCTAAAAAACGAAAACATCTATTTCCTTCTGTCCATACCCCCTCTCTTTGACAGACTCCTGTCAACACAATACAAACAATTCAATCAATACTAATACAATGCTAAAACTCCAGCATCTGCAATAAACTGAAATTAAATACTTTCCATATTTACAAGCTGAAAGTCCATTAATCCTCGAATATCCCACAATGTTCATAACAAGTTATATAATGTCACAAACAGTTCATATAACAGTTCACAGTCAAAGTTCAAGACTCACAGTTCACAGTTCAGTGTCAATCTTGATGTCACATAATCCAAAGTCACAGAATCCAGGGAATCTAATGTCTCCACAGAATCCAATGTCACACAATGCACAGATTCCAATGTCTTCACAGAATCCCGTATCACATAATCCGATGTTACAGAATCCGAGTCACAGAATCCAAGTTGCTGTATCCGAAGTCGCTGTATCTGATCTATCCAAAGTTGCTGTATCCGATATATCCAAAGTCGCTGTATCCGATGTATCCAAAGTCACAAATCTGTATCACAATTCTCAGTTGACCACTCCAGTGGACAGATCTTGTCTGCTGGCCTGGTAATCACTGATTGCCCAATTCGTACATCCACCATGCGAACATGTCCATCTCATCCTGTATATGTCTTCACAATCCTGCCAAGGGGCCACTGTCCTCATGGAGTGTCCGGAGAAATCACAAGAACAACATCGTTGGCACACAGGTCTCTGCTTGGAGTTCTCCATTTCCGTCTTTGGTTCAGACTTCGGAGCCATTCCTTCATCCAGCGCTTCCAAAAGTGTCTCATCAATTCTTGAATACGTCTTCAGCGCTTTCGTGGAGGGTAATCTGTAGTGTCTACAGATTATGGAGCAAATATCCCTCCGATCTGGCCATGCAGGAAGTCATTCAGTGTCAGAGGAATCATATCTTGGGGATGAGTCGACTGATAGGTGAGAGGACGCGAGTTGATCAGGGCTCCAGCTCCAGTAAATGCAGTTTCCAGTTCCTCGTCTGTGACATCACCATTCCCCAGGATAGCGAAGATGGCACGTTTACCCGATTTTATCATTGTCTTGAATACACCTCCAAAGTGTGGCGAGTATGGAGGGTTTAAGTGCCATTTCACTCCTCGATTAGCCAGGGAACGTTGAACAGCGTGTTGATCCAGATTGCAAAAAAGTTCCTTGAGTTCTTTAACGGCACAAGACTGGTTTGTTGGTGTATGCACCATCCAGGTTCTAATTCTCATTCTGTTATCGTTCAGTTACGCAAAAAACATCATACCCCGGAAAAAAGATAGGGGGTGCAACACTTTTCTACTGTGTATATAACGAGTTTGAATGGTCAGTCCACGATGACCTATGTGTGACTATTTTCCCACAATACTTACAGCTATAAACCCTAATGTTGATCCTCTGCAGGGACTGCAACAAGCCGGAATTTTAATAAGACCCATGAATTTAGTGTGCATTCCTAAGAGATGTTATTAATTCAATGTCAATGTTTTCTATAAGTCACAACTGTTATTTAGTGCAAGAAAATCTCTTTTTGTCAGTCATCAAATGTCCAACCCAAGCTAAGGAAACATGTCCTTCTCTCGCTTGTCTCTCTACTCTTACAAATTTCACTAAGTTCTTCTGCGATTGAAACTTTTATCACTTTTCAGGTCAAATGATCAGTTTTGATTTATTGAACTTCGTGCTTATTGGACAGTGGTTACAGTTTATTTTTCCTCAAGCTTAAGAAACATTGGACAGTTTTCCTTTGTCCAGCTAGCGATATTGTTGACGAATGCTTGTTTGTACTGATTGTTTATTGTTTTCTAACTTTCAGAAGCTGGAAAGCAGGAAGAAGGTCCTGACAACGATTGACTGGCCGGAGAAGAAGAAGCAGAAAGTTCTTCCTCTCTTGGGGAAAGAGTTAACATTTCTCAAATTGGAAAACCAAATAATATGGATTCATCTACATTGATGAATTTAGGAAAACATTCCATACTCACTGCTATTTATTCCCTTATTTCTTTTAATTATTCTCATGCCAATAATGGTTGTTATAACTTGGAAACTAGGTTGAAACCTACAACAAACTAAAACATGTAAACCAGGTTGAAACCTACAACAAACTAAAACATGGAAACCAGGTTGAAACCTACAACAAACTAAAACATGGAAACCAGGTTGAAACCTACAACAAACTAAAACATGGAAACCAGGTTGAAACCTACAATAAACGGAAACATGGAAACCAGGTTGAAACCTACAATAAACGGAAACATGGAAACCAGGTTGAAACCTACAATAAACGAAAAAACAGAAACCAGGTTGAAACCTTTAATAAACGAAAACACGGAAACCAGTTGGATTCTGCTTGGGGGAGTGGGTAATGAATCGCACTGGAAACCAGCCGGAAATGGTGCAGAATTCAGTTTCAGTTTTCATGGAAACCACAATGAAACTATAGGGAACTACATGGAAACCAACTGGAAATGGTGGTTTCCATGTTGTTTCTTCTCAGTTTCAGTGTTCCGGAAACCAACTTATTTCTGTAGTGACGGGCCTTTACTTCAGTCATTTTGTGTGACCTTTTCGCCAATATATGGATCCTATTCAGCTGTTCTCGGACATACTGAATAAAATAGCTGATGAAAGTATTCGCAAGTCCTCTGCGACACCGCACATTCGTTTACCGACGACTGCAAACAGGCCAGGGGTGAGTGAGTGAGTTAAGATTTAGAGTCACATCGGCAATATTGCAGCCATATCGTGACTATAACAATTTATAATTTAATAATAAATAAAGGTATTTAGTAAAACCTGTCAACAAAGGAGGTAAAACAACTAGGCTATCACAGATAGAAAGCTAAAACTAGCTGTAGCATGTAAGCATTAACACATTTATTACAGTAGTGGACAATACAATATAAAACCCGGGTTATAGGTCACCAACAGCTGAAGGTAGATCACCATACTAGGAACCATGGGGACTTACAGTGCTTTTGCTACCTGGCTGGGCCCTAGTTGCATTTACACCATTCCTTCAGCCGCTGGCTATTGTGGGAAACGTCTAGCCGAAGTTTAAAATAACAAAGAAATACTGCGTTGAAAAAGTCTAAAGTAAGTCTAAATTTTACTTTCAAAGTTTTGGGACTTACGTATCCTCTCAGGAGGACAATAATGTTACGATACTTTAACCCCCTTTGAGGATACAGCCGCTAACAATCGCAGTTACTAATTTATACTATCATGTTAAAATGTCATTTATCTATTTACAAAACAAATTATTCAAAATTTACCTAATGATTCCATTTCTTTTAAAAATTCAATTATTAAATGCTAATTTAATCCCAACTTTGTGGCGTAATGCCGTTGTAGTCCCAATACCAAAGCCTGTCCAGGATCATACCGATCCGTCTAATTACAGATCAATATCTTTAACTCTTTCCATACGACGCAAAATTTTCACAGCTGCACATATATCCTAGGGACGCGATATCACTCCAGACATCTACAACCCTTGCGTACTACCAAGATGTTTCCAGCTGTAGCCTCTGAATTCGATGGACGAGGTATGGCGTCAGAGTTTTTACAGTGTTTCCATGCGAGGGACGTGGTAACTCGTCTACTCATGCTAAACATATTTCACAGTTTTCTAGCCGTGTATCCCCCGTCCTGCAATTCGTCTACTTTGTGACAGTGTAATTTTTAGGATTTACTTGATTATCTCCCATGGCCAAAACCACGTGCCATATGACCTTGACATTCGGTGACCACATGGCGTTAAAATGGCTGTTCGTCGAAAATCGTATCTGACCACACAAATCAGGAATATTCCAAGTAACAGATGTCCAGAAATTGGGATTTGGGCATGACGTTTGATTGTTAGCCATGTTCTTTCACTGTTGACTGTTCTTAATATAGTTATTACCACAGGTAACACTCGTTTCATCGTTCTTTGGAATTGGATGTCATGACTCTATTATTAGTTATGACATAAATCTACTAAATTGTGACCGCCTCCGTGGTGTAGTGGTTAGAGCGTCCGCCCGGAGTGCGGAAGGTCGCGGGTTCGATCCCCGACCGCGTCATACCAAAAGACGTTAAAATATGGTACTTGTTGGTCCCTGCCTGGCGCTCGGCATTAGTGGGTACAACAAGGACTGGTCGGCTCGGAGTCAGTATAATGTGTCTGAGTGGGTTA